CCCTTCTGGAAATAGGAAGCTTTGGTGAGCCTAATGATTATGTCACTAGATGTCAGTTTATGATGAGTAAAAGTATACACATCTACTAATATTCCTTTTGGCTTTAAGCCTTGAAACTAAAAATATGATCTAGCATATGTCGTACTGGTTTTCATGTGATCAGATATAATCTTCTATTTGATGACTCAAGTACTAATGAATTCAATACATTAACTGTTATTGTCAGAGAAAAATTCTGGTAGATTCTTAGTTATTTTCTCAGTCGATGATATAGGCCTGAATTCAAAAAAGTAATTCAAGTTCTTTTGAAGCTCTATGAGATCTGTTTTCTTCATCTGCTCCATGCATGAAGTAATTAACTTTGGTTATATTAATATTATGCTGTCCCATAATAAAAGAAAATTATTCCAACATTTTTCAAACTTTTTTTAAATATTAAAATCATAGACCTGGGAGCATCAAAAATAGTGGAAGGTAGAACCTGGCCAAAGGCAATACAACAAAGATTAATTTACACCTAAACACTTCCCCATTAATTTGATAAGCCTTTCATACACAGTATAGAAATGACACAGTTGAATATAATAAGTGTTTTATGGGGAGCAACGCAATGATCGGAAAAGGCAAGTTTGCTCAAAAATCTTCCCACAGATCCAGGAGGTGGCCGATTGCAGTAGAAAGCATATCTACTGTGCCTCTCTAAGAAGCCTCTAGTTCTGAATCCTTCCCGCAGTGCCTCCATGCATTGAAAAATTTTAAGTTCATCTGGCCACTAGAGAGCACCTTGAGACTGACAAACCTTGGTCTGGGCACCCAGGTCTCCCTCTGAACCCTGGTATCCCATGACAGAGGGGCCGCACGCTCAGTCACTGCGCCATCTAGCTACCCGGCGGCAGCTTACAAATGGCCATCAAGGCTGATGGATGCATTTGGTGAAGCTTAGTGACCTGTGGTAGTGATAATGAAGTATTCTGAAGCCCAGATAACATTTTATTCTGTCACTATGGTTTTCTGCCTCTGGTGACATCACCTAATTTGTACTGCTTTACAGCGTATTTCTAAGGCAAGCATTTTAGCCAGGATCCCAGTTCCCTTATTGCTCCTTCTCTTTCCTGTCAGATTGAATTTCTCTCAAAGAGAAAATATTGCCTGATATTGATTCCAGTGTACGAGATAATTTCAGGTTCTCACTCTGCAGTTCATCCAAAGCCCTGTTTAAAATCTTGAAGAGATTTTCCAAGTCTAAGAGGCGCAGTTCTAAAGAACAGTTCTTAAATGTGTTTAAAGGACCCTCGGCTACGTTTTCTGATGTTTCATCAGCAGTTTGCACTGGTACACTTTCCATTGTTATTACAACTGAGCCATGTCATAGGGAGTTGTACCAGCAAGACCATCCAAAAGCTATAAAGTTTTGATGTTTTCTGGCCGATTTCTTACTGTGCTCTTAAAAATATTTAGCTTCTGCTGAGCCAAATGGGTACCTCTAAAGGCATATGTAGCAAAAAAACTCTTCAAGCATCTCGGTAACTGCTGCAGTATCTGTATAGACAGCAGGAAGATGAGATTCTGTTTAGATGAAGCAAGTGCGTGTGGGGGCGGGGCGGTGTTCTTTGTGGCAGGCGTTGTGAATGAATAATGCCGACCTTCAGCTAGCCCTTGGCCCATCAGCATAGGGGTCTGTCTGTGGATATAGAAGAATCTGCTTTCTTAACCACTCTTATGAGGTTTTCCCTAAGCCATTTCATTCTCGTATTATTGTTTGCATCAAAGAGAAATCAAAAGCATCACTTCTAGCCCTGATTCCTAACACTGATTGAGGTGTTTATAAGGCTGGTTTGCAGGGGATTTCTTTGATGTTTTAAGAAATCCTAAATAATTTCTCCCTCTTTTGAATGACACTTGACTTTCAAGTAAAGAATATTTCTGCATGTGAAATGTCAGTTACGTCTAATAATAACCTGATTAATGTGCCACTAAAATCTCTGAAAGAATTTGCCACCATTTTTATAAAATGAAGTTCTTTCTTCTCTCTGGGTGCCTGGCTTGTAGAATCTGGTTAGAATAGTGGCAGACTGTCACAAACAGATTGCTTCATAATGAAATTACACTCTAAAATGTAAACTTGCTATCTCACCTTTTGCCAACACATACCATTTGTGATGTGACACCAGAATAGCACGGGAGTGAATAGGCTATTAACAAAGACTTTCGAGAAATAGTCTCCTCTGGGTTTCACAGGTAGCCATGACTATGAAAACATAAAGGAGTGGAAGGCAAAGATAAGGAGTTTACAAGGGGTATATGCATTATTGTGCAGATATTGTTGCTTTCAGCAGCCAGACTCCGTTTTTAGCTATCAGTCTCTATGCCAAATTCAGAGACAGTCTTCTTCCATCCTACAGGAGTACTCCCTGCATGGTCTTATTTATTTATGTCATGTGATGCTTTTTGTGCAGGTGAAAAGATAGGGGAACTCTATCTATACGATAATGTTATCCCTGGGATTTCAACGAGGATTGAATTAAATAGTACAAAGTAGAAAGATAGCGTGCCTGTGTATATGTGTATATATTTGTTTGTCTGAAACTCCAGGGGCTATGATTATGTTAGGGACACGTTATCATTTGAGATATAGTGAATGCAAAGAGATGGCACTCATTTTTCTTTGTCTGGGCTTACCCACAGTGCTAAAGACAAATTAAGATTTTCTCAGATAGGATCTTTTCCGTAGGTTGTGCAGGACTTTGGTTCAGGCAACTTCTTATAATCAAGGTTGAGATGAAAATTATTCCATACGTCTGTGCAGACTCTCATTCTTCGTATCTTGTATACTTTACATTTCTTCCAAAAAAGAGGTTGAGTTATAAACGGAATACTGTACTAAATGGAAGTAACAGTGAAGGAATCAGGGGGGTAGCTCTGGGTCCATAAACTACTTCCCGGGTGAGCAGAAAGAGATTTTTTTAAGGTAGAAGACACATGACAAATCATGTCCTACTTTGGGATAGCTCTTTTATTGTTGTCTTACATCGCAACATTACACGCATTTGAATGTTGATTAACCTGTTATGTAGTTTTATCTTCTCTTTGGCAAAGAATCAGAGAAAGCTCATTCAGCTTTCTTTATACTCCTTGAAGGCTTAGCAGAGCGCCTTCCATAGAGGCTTTCAATAAACAGCTATTGTTTGATTCACAGACTCTAAGACTGGGGACAAGCAATGTGGCATGGAAGACACCTCACCAGATCAGCTGTGTGAATGGGAGTGAGCTTTCCGGACCACTATTTCCTGACTTGTAAAAACAAGGGGCTGGACTCAGTGATTGCTAAGGTCACTTCTAACTCTGTAAATTCTATGCTTTTAAAAAATACTCGGATCCTGATAGAAGAAAATCTTCTTGCGTTTCCGGACAAAAGAGCCCAGGGCGCATTTGTACTTGACCTCCTACCACATCCTGAGTTTCTACTCTAATGAATCCAGGTTTATTCTTCAGTTAAATGGCTCAGCTCCAGGAGCCCTTGGTGTGATTCTAACACTGTGTAGATATTGATTTTTCTTGCAGGAGAGTGGTTACTCTAACCACCAAACTATTAAATCTCTCCTGTTCTCATAAGGATGATTTCACGAGTGTCAATTCACTCCCTTTGGTTGATATTTAACTCCATCCAGGGCTCGTCTGAAGATAGCAATATTATCAAAGTATCTCAGAATGCTTTGTGGCCGAAGGTGCTCTACCTTTCATCATCTCTGTGTTGTCTATCAATCACGGCAGTAGACAGAATTTGGTCAAAATAAGACTGGAAGACTCTGACCTCGTTGCTGCCATGTTGTTTTCCATTACCTCCTGCATCAAAGCTCACAGTTTCTTACTGTGAACGGTATCAATAGCTATTCAAATCAAACAGGCTTCCTCCTTATTTTGCTTGTTCGTGCCATTAGAAGATGACTTTTCACCTCCCAGCATCGATTGTTGTCGTGGCAGGACCACAGACGTTATCCTCAATATACACGGCACAGCGAGCTACAATAGTAAAATATTAATTAGATTCTTGCTTTCTCATTTTAGAAGTTTACCCTCAGCGAGCTCTCCAGTTAGCTGATGGAAGGTACAACATGTCGATCAGGTTATGATAGGTGTTAACTTCCAAGTACAATTTAACAGAGGCTTTCATGACAATGATTCTTGGGCACTCACCTTGTTACATTAGTTAAAACACACACTATGAAATCAGTGGGGACTTTGATGCCAGTAAAGAATTCTATATCCAGAACCATAATACCTTGTTGGTTATCTTTCAGTGGATTCCATGGTGACCCCAGAGTGGAGGGGATAATTTAATGAGATCGTTAATATTTCTATACAACCAGCAATCTGATAAATTCTCTTTTGGTAGGCATTTTTGCAGAACTAGCATAAGTGACTGTTCCACATGAAGCTTTATCTTTTCTTGTACAACATTGAAAGCTTACATGCTGCTTGACAAATTTGAATTTTAAAAAGTAAGAATGATTGGCACTTGGTAACTTCCACAGAAATATAAAGTGGTACAAGAAAATTGCCCATTTCTTTTAGATTTACATTTTATATGTTTTTTTTTTCTTTTAAGGAGTGATAAGACATGTAATTTCCATCAACTTCAACCAGTTATGTATGAAAGAGGCTACAAGTTCAGCTCTGTAGAGAAAAAGCAAGTTGTAGGGAGAACTGACATACCATAAAAAAAGCACACAGCCTTCCCAGCTGCCTTCCATTCTGGTACTAGAGATGCTTATTTGCAGGAAAGACCAAAATCCTAAGACTAGGGTACCACACGTCTTGAAACAACTCTGCTTGTTCTTGGTTCCTGACTCACCAGCCCCACTGTCTCACTGATTAAATGTCCTTTTGAGTCCATTAAACGCAAGGAGAAAAAGAAAGCAGATAGAGAGGTATAATCAGAATTTACAGATGAAGACTTCTCTTGATGCACTGGATGCTCCAAAAAACTTGGCATAAAGCAATTACTGTCTATTAATTCCTTTATTTGGTCAACATTTATTGATATATAACAGTAAAGCACCCAGCTCAATGCATATAGCAAGCAAACATTCCCTCATTGATCTCATTTATAATTTTGAAGATATGTAATGATAAAAATAATTGAGGGCCTCGACTCATAACATAAATCCTATTTTGGAATCTTGATTTTTTTTGATAGGAATATTATCATTTCATTTGTAGTCTGTATGTCTTTCATTGAACATGAAGTGCTGACCTCATGGTCTAACACATGTATAAAAAATGACATGATTGTATACTTAATTTTTTTCTAGAATTTTCTAGACATCTTTTCTGGTTTACCATATATTCTAGTCATCCCCTTACTTAAACAGTTCTCTCTAGTTTGGACTGTTGAATGCAAACATAAACAATTACTTCTTTGAAAACCACTAAAAGTGGTACTTAGCCTCTAAGGACAGTTGTTGGGCAATGAAAAAAAGTTTTTGGTCCTGACAACCACTGAATTAAGAACAAAGCTATTCCAATGGGTGATTTATCTTATAATAACACTTAGTGTATTGAATTATCAATGAGGTTCATTTATTCAGCATTTATTTGAGATGGGAATGGAGGTAAGTCCTCTGAAGGCAAGAACTGGTTTATATTGTTCGTTGTTAGTATTTGCAGCACCTAGCACACAGCGCATTAACGACAACAACAAAAATGATTGATTGAATGAATATGATTTAGCGATGAGGAAGCAAAGACTCCAAGATGTAAGTATATTCTGAAGGTCTCGTAGGTGGTAAGAAGTGGAATTAGAGTTCCAAGGCTGTTTTGACTCCAAGGCCTATGCCCTTTTTCTCAGGACAAACTTGATGTACAGGAACTTTCCAGACTCCCTGCCTCTGTTTCCTGGTTTCAAGTCATATCCTTTCCTGGGCAGGCAGAAGCAGTGGAAGAAGCGGTAAGCAGTATCTTGGGAGAGTAGACATCCATGAATGCCATCAAAGCCTCATCTGAAGTAGCCCCAGAAGAATCTTACCTTGATTTCTATCTTTTTAATCTGGATCCCCATCTTCGAGGTACCAAAATACATTCCAGCTTATGCTATAGATCAGACATAGATAATTTATGGCAGGCCCGTAAAAGGAGGAGCCAAGCCAACACCTGAGACAATAGTTCTCACAAATGTCTGATTGTGTTCACCCTTATGTGAAGCCCACTCTCCTTGCTCTTGATGTGGCCAAAAATATAGTGATCCTCTGTGTCTGTGGCTGGGGAAGAAAGATCCTCAATTATAAACCAAAAATACCAGGTATTTACAAGAGAGATTTAATAGCTACAGTCACACTTGGAGTTATAGGGTGTTAATGAACAAGCTATACCAAGAAATGCACTTTTTCCCCTTCTTGGCTGCCTGGATTCGCTGTTGGTACAGAATAATTGAAACCCCAAGTTGTGAAACTATGAATCAGGAGGGTTTCCTGTATAATGAATGATGTCATCTTATAAGATGGGAGACTTCCAGTGAAATGCAAGAACATTCAGGGTAATGTGTCTGTAGCAAGCAGGATCCTGAATTTATTGCAGAGGGGAGTGTGTGAGTCGACCAAAATGGAGAATGATGAGAAGTAACTAAATTATGTATGACAGTCTTTACAGAGCAGAGGAAGGAAGAAAGCTTAATGATGTTGTGGTTGAAGGACCAGCAGCAATTGGTGATGTATAGGTTGGAGGTTGGTAAGAAGAGAAATGGATCTATGAAGACTCAAAGAGTATACGTGACTCTTGACAAAGACCAAGCAGTAGATTTGCGAGGGGGAGGGGTAACGGGAGCTGAGCATATAATAAATTTTAGGGCAACAAGACAGCCAAGTAAAGTTAACTTGACATTAAAAATCATCATCTTAATCTATGTAGCTCTTTCAAGCCTGAGTCTTATCAAGGAAAAAAAATCTATAGTTAACGATGAAGTATTTTTCTTCCCTTTTGCTTTCCCGGCATCCACCAAATGCAGTACATAATTTAATTATTGAATCTACAGGCTGGACCATGGAGATGAAGAATGATGTGTCTGCTGTAGTGAGAAATTAGATAGAACCGACTGTTTATTCTCATCATTCTTCCTCCGGTAGGCTAAATTAATATAGTTAACAAGCTTTTGTTTGGATTAGTGGCTCAGATCTGGGATGTGCAGATCAGAACTCGTGATTATTACAGTAGCTATTATTTATGGAGTGCTGACAGTATCCTCAAGCTCCATATGTAAAACACTAAGGGGCTCTTTTGTCATTCTCTGTGCTAGAACCAATGTTCCATCAGACTTAGGAGGTAGACGTCTGAATAGAATAATGTTCAAGAAAATCAGATTTTGTTTCTTGGGGCATACGACTTCAGAAATGTCACTGAAGGTCTTTCCTTTTGACCTGTGCCATCTTTTTCTGATCTTTTAAACAATTGTAACAAAAATATGCACAGTTTTATAGCCAGCAACCTTAATGGGGAATACCAAGAGGGATGTGTGGATAGTAGTGAGGTTTGGGCAATAATGGCTGGCTTTAGCCTGTATTTCAGGCTCGTCCACAAAATTTGAGTGGGAACAGCAAACTGGCTATACAAAGCACAAATGCAAATGTAGCTTCGAGGCATTTGTGCCTCGAGGCAGAGCATCCCCTCTTGACCCTGTGAAGCTGCTACTGGTAAATATTCCCCACAAGAACACAGCGACACAGCAGGCCTCTTTCAAAGGCCAAAACGGGGTCTCACTTTCTGCCTCTTTCTGTTTCATTGCACTGTACTCGAGTCGTCTTTTATTCACATATTATGTATATAATTATAGCTAGAGTTTTAAGTAGTTGACGGGGATTCAAGTGGAGGAAAAAAAATCTCACCCTCAACCCTCAGATTCAGAGAGCTGAAAAACGCAACGGTTCGGAAGCCTTCGCCTTGGAGCAGCCGCGAGCAAACCCTCCCCGCGCCCACTCGGGGTCCACGGTCGTGGGCGGGGCTCCGGGGTCGCGGGACCCAGGGCGGCGTGTGCTTCTTGGTGAGCGTAGTGTTTATTTCCTTGTTAGGCTTTTATTTAATCTTCCTTGTGATTAAACTTGCCTCCATAGCACATGGCTAATCTATTATTTTTCTCTCTCTGGCCTGAAAAATTTCTCCTAGGAAAGGATATCCAGCTTGATCTCCCTCATTTTGCTGCCCAAGTATCAACGTGGATGATGCAGGGTGGAGTAAAGGCAGGTAGGAAGAGCAGAATAGAAAATACAGTTCTATCTTTAGCTTTTCCTCTGAAAGTGATCATCTTGGTGGCAAGCTGAGGTAAGAGAATCAGCAGCTCAGTTCTTATAACATTCTTTGAGCTGCCTTGGAAATTCTTAGCTAAAGAAACTCTCGAGGCTCTTAGAAACGTATTTCTATTCGGGGGGCCCCGAGCCGCCGGCCCCTCTCCGGGTTAAGCCTGGCGCTCTCTGCGCAGGAGTGCGGGGCCGGAAGTGCGCGGCTAACTTCGCCGCTAACTTCGCAGCAGGCGGCGCGGCCTCCGGGAGGCCTTCCCCATCTGGGAAGCCGAGAGAGGGTGGATGTGGGACTCAAAGTGGCAGTCATTTCTTGCGCCCGCGTGTGCGTTGGGAATGCGTGATTTCGTCCCGGGGTCGGAATCGAGGAGGGGTGGAGGTGGGACTAGGTGTATCTCCCTGGACTAGTTGTCCCTCCTCTGTCACTGCAGCTGGGGTTAGGGCACCAGTTAGCATTCAGCTAGACTCAGGGAAAACGCCGGGTGGAGCATAAGTTCCTTTCCCTCCTCTTCGTCTCTTCCCCACCTCGTGTGGTAGGCAGTTACCTAGCACCCTGCAGCGATTATGGTGCGAACCCTTTAGCTGGGTAGTGAACCAGTCCAATCCAGCATCGCTTCATGTTAAGAGGTTTCCCAGGTTTCTGAGAATTTAGGCAGCGTAAACAGCGGGTACTCCTGGTTCCCAGTACCGACCTGTTCTCTGCGTCGCAGCCGCGGGCACTGCAGCTGTGCACTTTAGCATAAGGTTCCCCGGTAGAAGTGGGGAAATTCTCACTTTCGTTTAGCTCAGATGTCTAGGCTTTCTCCAGACATCTCAAGTGATACCTACCCAGTTCTTGTGTTGCCCTCCTTCCTTGTCCTTGAAAGTACCCTCTTTCCTGGAAGTTTTAGGTCCCCTTCAGGGGCTGTCCCTGTTGTAACAACAGCTTGTGCCTGCTCAAGCATAAAGCCTATTTTACTACAACTTGACACTTTTCATAGTTTCTCCTCATTTGATTCAGTTCTCAGAGTTGATAACTCTGTCCCATCTGGGGAAAGTAGGGGAAATGGAAGGGACACATTATCTGGTTAATGTCAGAGTTGGGACAGCTCCAGATGGATAATAATCTTGTGTGATTAGGAGAGTTACCTAAATTCTCAGAGTCTCTAAGATGGAATGTTAATATATGCCTTAGCTAGGAATGAGGCTTGAGTGAGGTGATGTGTATAACCTTTAACATGGTCTGAAATATATTATGTCCTTTTTTCCTCTTCCCTCTTGTGCTGACTCCATTTTATGAGAGAGGTAAAGGATGAGAGCAATTTGTAGGGTAGGCATTTGTATTAACTAAAAAAAAAAATCCTATGACAAAGTTAGTAAATAGATATAATATTTGGGAAGGTGAAGCTCTGTGTGCCAAATTCAAACTTCTGAAATAATAATTTAATTTCTTAATTTTTCTCTTTAGATCAGAGACTGTCTGGGGGTCCATAATCTGTGATTTCTGATTGGTAAATGTAACTGAAGTCGTCCGAGCTTGGTGATACAAAGTCTGAATGTGGTTAGGTTGTACTGCAAAGCAGATTTACCAAAATGCTTTTCTCCACTGCTGTTTTGTCATGTTTTCCTTTTAGACCCAGAATGAGTGAAGTTCCCTGCAAAAAACGTGAGGACTATTTGGAATGGCCCGAGTATTTCATGGCAGTGGCCTTCTTATCGGCACAGAGAAGCAAAGATCCAAATTCCCAGGTAAGTGAGTTTTATAGGAGAATGTTTAGACCCTCACAGACACAGAGATGCCTGCAAATGAGCAACTTACAAAAAGAAGAGACTGGGTGGACACCTGTCAGTTTACAAAGGCAGAGTAAAGCTGCTGTCTTTACTCAGTAAAGCTGTATTCCTGCATGCTTACATTTTCCTGTGAGAGAGTAAGTTGTCACATGCCATCATTCATTACCTCTTGTACCCCTCTGGGGCCGTGGGTACTCTTTCTCTGGCTTGTGGGAACCGCCACAGAAAACAAGCAAGGAGACAGAGCTCTTAGTACCTCCAGAAGCTGTGTGCCCATTTTTGAGCTCTGCAGCCCTCTGGTTTCATTTATTGCCGCTCCAGTGGCAGACGGGCCATTTGAAGTCACCAAGCCTTTGGGCATATTTCTTTGTAGGTCGGAGCCTGCATCGTGAATGCAGAAAACAAAATTGTCGGGATCGGGTACAATGGAATGCCAAATGGGTGCAGCGATGACCACTTGCCTTGGAGGAGAACAGCGGAGAGAAAGCTGGATACCAAATACCCTTATGGTAGGGAATGCTTTGTGTTCCACTCTGCTTAGCGGCATAGCCTCGAGTGCTTAAGTTTGGTAGTTGGTCAGAAAGTGTCATCTCCCTTTTTAGTCAGCAGCAGCTGGAAAGAAAAAAAAAATCCTATTGAACTACCCCAATTTCCTGTCCCCGTCCCTTAAGTTCCAAAGAGAGCCAACAGATGGAAGCATGGTTGTGATCACGCGGCCTAGCCCTGAGATCCACGGCTGTGTTGCCTGCGGTGGGCCTGGCATGTTTCACTGGCGACCTGCCAGGCTTTACAACACCAGAGCATTGATGGCAGGCTTCTCTGCAGAGGGCCACCGCCTCTGGCTAAGGAATGTGCATAATGCCTCTGCGGTTGTTTCTTTGCTCCTTGGAAGAAGAGACAGCTAACCAAGTACTGGCCGGGGCTTTGCTCTGATGAGAAACAGTTCACTCAGCCCTTCTGCCTACCCAGGAAATCTGGCTCAACCCATCTCTGGGAAGCAGGAAACAAACTGTGTTCTGGACATTAGAAGATAGATGATGGGTAGATGATGCAGTGGCCTCTTCCTGTTCCAGGGGACTCTGCAGTTGCAGAGTAGGCTGTGGTCAGATCATTAGCCAGATGTGTGGTACTGAACACTTCTGGCCGGGTCATCCCTGGTTTTCATTTTTAAGTGAGGGAAGTGAACCTTTTATAATTTGTTTCCTATCTAAGCCCAAGGGAGAATCACTTCAGAGATTATCTGGGAGAGACAAACCACAGATTCACTTTTCCTTTAATTCCCTGGAGAATTTGTAACTAATGCCCTAAAAGGCAAATTGGGCTGCATATGCTTGTTGCTGCCTTTTCATGTTAGGACCTGTGCTTAAGTCTTGAAATGAATAGATGGGCTGCGGCGGGAGTCAAGTAGATTAAGACAACCCAAACGGGAAAGACTGTGCTTTTGGGAAACACGGTCACGGTGCTGCGTGAGGCCTTTCTGCTGTGTTGACTCCTCCCAGTAGGTTTTCCTCTGGGTTCTTCTCACGAAGAATTCCAAGTCTACCTTTAGCCTAATTTGCATATTTTTACTAATGTTCCTGGACCTTAATCGTGTTAAATAAACTCCATAAATTTCTTTTTTAAACTCTGGGCAACTGCCGTATTTTGGAAAGAAACAGAAAAAAGGTGCCTGGAGGTGGAGAGGGCATTGAGGAAGGAGGATGAGGAGAATTACAAAGCACTCAGGGGTTTCAGGGAATAAAACATACTTTAGTGATTAAGGGGATTTTAGTCAGATCAGTCCATTTTAACTTCACCCCTTGGAGGAGCAGGAAGAGTGGGATTCCAGTTGGGAGAATGTAAAACTGTCTTCTCAGCCCTCACTTTGTAGCTGAGTGGAATGCGTGAAATGAAAAACGTGCTCACGTATTTTAGAAACTTTTTCTCATCCTAATTTTGATTCTGTAAGCTTTTGGATGTTAAAAAAAGAAGGGAAATGATTACTTGTTTATAGGTACATGCAAAGGTAATTTTTCACGGTACAGGTCAGTGTCCCGTATAAAAATCACAGCAGTGAAAGGGTCGATGTGTTTAAGATTACACTGAAATATATGATTGCCGTAGTCATTACTTCACGAAGTGAAGACAGTGAAGTATAGGTCCTTGCGCTGATCCCCTATGTGGGGAATTCTTAGGTGCTATCAGTCTTTGGCGCTGAGGCTGGTTGCAACATATGCCAGTGGTTGGACCGATGTAGAGGGGTCCTTACTGGTTACTCTGCGGCTCACCCAGGGGGACCTGTGCCTTCTTCAATCACTGTGAGCCCCAGGCAGATCTGTGGCAGTGACCTAGAAGCCAGAGGCTTTGTAGCACATTTGTAATCCCCCAACTTCCCAGCGTTTAGAATCTCTCAAGTAGCTGATTTTGGTTGTTCTGAGACACTGCATTTTGTCCAAGTTGGAGAGAATACCTTTCAGAGCTCCTTTCCAGAAAAAAATGAAAAAAAAAAAAAAAATTCACACAGGCATTTGTCCAACTTCACTGATTGTTTTTTATTGAATAGTTGCTGAGTTTCTGGGCACTGGTTGTCTGTCTGCATTATATTTTACTATCTGTATGATACCTCTTGGTTTTCAAAGCTCTTTGCCCTCACTTATCAATTATTCATTTTACATGTAGCTGTGTTAGAATGTAGACAATTTTCTTTCACGAGAGTAAGCTTGTAATTTGATGTGCTACCGTAAAAGTCGTCGAAGGTATTAAATGATTTTTAAAAGGCATTTAGTATTACTGCCATCATAATACACACGTAGATGGGCCTTCAGTCTGAATAACGGTGACTGGCTGTAAACTGTACACTCAGTCTTATCTTTTCAAAGGACTTCGGGCCACGGAGTAATAAATATTTAGATAGCCTTACATGTAATAGAAATGTTTGGTGGTAATTGACTAAAATGAAAATTCACTTTACTTCCATTTTAAGACTTCAAAAATTAATTTAAAAATTAAGTGCTAATGTCTGGAATTGGGTAGGCCTCTTTCCTCACCAGCATTAATGGTGGCTGAGCTGCTCTATCAGGAAGGATAGATTATGGGTTAATCCTTTTAAAGGAGCTTTAGTGATTATCTGGAGCTCTAGACCAATGATTCCTAATTCTTTTGACTATATGGGAACACTCTTAAATGTCAAGAAAACTTCCAGGACCCCTACATTCGTATCTTTTGAGTAAGAAAATCCGTGATGACAAAAAGCTACTTGATATCAGTAATGCTTTGTGTTAATCTGGACATTATTAAACAGGATCGTATGTGTTTGGAAAAGTATATTACGTCCAAGATGTGATGTTTACCCAGTCAGTGGCCCATGCTGGACCCCTTGCAGATCCTCCGTAGTGCCTCAGGGTTCTGGGCCCACAGGATCCAAGTCTACCCATTTCTTTTAGGATAGGGAAATGAAGTCTCCCAAAATGTCAGGTAACTTCTGTCATGCCACACCGGCAGGGTGACATCTCCTAATTCCCAAGTCAGTGCTCTTTTCCCACCCCACTCTCTCATGTGGGACACAGGAATTCAGCTTTTCTGAAATGATATATAATCCTTGCACAGTGGACCCCCTTTTCTCACTCTGCACTTGAGCAAACAGTGGCTTAGGTGAAGTGACTCCCCAGAAGTCAAGCACTGGCGGTGGTGGCCTGTACCTAGCGTTATAGGCAGAAAGCCATTTGCACGGGGCTGGCTGTAACATTTCTCCAAAGTGGAGCTACAGATGGGGCTTGTATAAGTTTGAATTTACCAATAGCAAATACAACTTAATTCTCCTTATTAATTCTGTAAGTTAGGAAGTCATTAGTCTTGATTGACACTCTGTGGAAAGGAGGGAGACTGAATACTTGTAACATAATAGGAAGATGGAGCTTTTCCCAGCTGTGTCTCTGGAGAGGCATTTTTAAAGGGTGTTTTTGTTCTTCCAACCTTAGGATCAAAACTTCATGAAACTATTTGATTACAATGTAGTATTAATATGGAAAATGAAAATTCCCCCTGCCAAGGAAACAGCTTTTTATCTCATCCTTTTCCTGAAAAATCCAAAAGATAGTGTGATGTCAGTAACATTAAGTGGCAGGAAGAAGTCAGAGTTATTACAGTGACACATTTTCACGTGAATGACAATTAAAAAACTGGGAAGCAGCAGATTGATCTAATTTAGTATAAAAAAAAACTTTGGAAGATTTTTATTTTTAGGAGGGGGTGGTTGTTAAACCTGGGATGAAGTGTTCAGCTGACATTTTTAGTTCTTTTCTCTTTGTGAAATTCATTAGAGTGAAGCACATTTAATCAAAATACCAATTTTATAAAATGGGAGTAAAATACTCCTGGTAATTCACATATCTCTCTTTCCTTGGGTTTTTGTAACCGATTTTGAAGACATAGTTTACAGACCGGAGAGTTGGAGTAGAATCACATTCTTTAATCCTCAAGACCCATTGTTAAACTTTACATTTTTAGTAGCGCTCGCTATGCTTATTAAGTTGTATGCATTTTCCTGCTATGCTGTTTCTTGTTGTTGAAAGGATTTGTGGGTAAGCATACCTCCGCGTGGCCTCCTCTTCCATCCCGATCGTTCGTGAAGCCTGGATTACTTTTGTCTGTTGTCACATCACATTTCTTCGTCATAGAAGGGACCATAGTCTTAATGTCCCAAGAGTGGGTGGTACCACATGCTAGATGCTTGAAGCAGAAATGGAGACATGAGGCTGTTTCTAGAGTTAGTTCATATTTCTGCAGGAATACTGTAAAAAGGATAAAATTCTGGAAAGAAAGTGCTGGAATTAAGGCAAGAGTTCAGCATGGCACTTTAAACAGTTTTGCCAGTGTGTGGCAGTACTCCTTTAAATTTTATATTTAAATTTAATCTTTATCTTTCAGATTTAGCATATTGTTAAGCATGCATAGATGTCATTTTAGTGATTACTTAGCCATTTACCTTACCCCCTTGAACACTGACATTTTCCTGACTGCCATGCATGTGATATATTTCTTTGGCATCTAAAAGGTTAGTCTTGAGAAACTAATTTATCAAGAAGTTAGGAGGCTGATCCTTCTTAAGCTGTGACTTCCTCACAACTTGTAAGAGCTTCTTAGTAATTAAGATCAAATTTGTTCCTTCAGCCAGTTGAAATTGAATGCCCTCTGGTTTTGTTAGGCAGATCCATGGATTTGATGACTTGCTGTTTCTCTTCCTGCAGAATTCTAATTTCACTTATAGCTTCCTATCATCCCTCCCCTGCCTGGCCATCCAATAGTTGTGGTCTGACAGTGGGTCTAATTAGGGACTTTTATACAAAATAACTAATCTAATCAATGAAAAACCTTTGAGCAAGTTTACAGGAAAGAAAGTAGGTGATTTTTATGAATCAAGAAACAAATTCAGATATCACTGTGTGGTGTTTTAGATAAACGGGAAAACCATGGCTTCTGTATGAGGCTGCCCTCTACCTGCCCCAAAATTAACCAGTTTGAATAAGCATAT